GATCAGTAACATAATTCAACTGTAATTGGTCATCTTTAATCTCGTTAAGGAGTGACATGTTTTTGTTCAGACCTAGAACAAAGTTGGCTCATAATTTTTGACACACCCTGTACTAAGTACGATATCAAATGAAAGTTAAAAGAAGAGATAAAATCGTTTTAACGAATGGTTTTTTGGATAGAATAATTGTTTTTCAATGTTATCACTGATTGGTTGATTCAGAAAATATGGATAATTGATGATAATTAAGATTCTGGGAAACGTCATAGAGAGTTTAACATCAGGTGTCGCGAGGGGAGTACCCCTGAGTATTATGAAAAGAAGCGATCACAGGCACGTTTGAATCCACTACTAATCTGTTGTATCACGTGAGAAACATTTGAAATTTTGGAGTGCATTTTGAGCTAATTGATAAATGGGGCTAATTAGTTCGTAAGTTACGGAAATAGATTTGGTGCGTCAAGTGTTTCGTGGTCAAACCATATGTAAGGTGCATTTTAAGAAGACTGTATGAAGAATATTTACAGACTGTAATTAATACTTTCTAAAGATAAAACTACCAATTTTGATACACGAGTTTTCCTTGTATATTTACTAGCGAAGCTTAACTAAAGATACTAAAGTACTTAAAGAGTTTTGACTGTAAGAACGTTTCGCTTTTGTACATCAAAAAAAAAAAAGGTTTGTTCAAGAGTTATTCAGTGCCTCGGAAATGGAAAAGGAAAAACCTACCTGCTGCTCGCCTGTAACGCAGAACAGAGCTTTTTCAAGCTTAGTCATTTCGTTACTGTATTCAAAAGTGGGAGTCTTATCGAGCCAACAGTAACTATTTTATTCATGTTTCATGATTTTTTTTTCTCTTGTTTAACGCTTTAGCTGTGTTGTTGTTCTGCAGTGAGTTATGAGGCTTTGTGAACTCATCATTCTTGGTTTATTCTGATGGAGATTGGCGACTGGTTTTTTCACAGTTGAGAAAGATAAAAAACATGAAACAAAAACTTGATGGACGATAGAACAGATGCCTTTGGAATATTTATGACACCACTTTGTCTTGTGAACCATTTTTAAGATGTGAACTAGGAAAATTTATTGAAACATCCATGCTAGAAAAAAGAATTCACGTCTTATATAACGCAGTGCTTCAAAATCGATGGCAGAGTTTTGTTTTGGAAATCTTTGCTTTCTGAAGAGTTTCTGAATAATAGACCCTTGTGTCGTTTGTCGCAGTTGGATATTCCTCATGGAAAAAGTAGCACAATTCTTAAAATCGTCAGATTTATCACGATCAGTGTAAATCGCTAGGAAAGTGTTGTTTTATAACCTCAAACATAGCTCCATAAAATAAGGCACTGATTAATGTATTCCATTTGTGACGTGCTTTGTAAACCCTGACAACTTCTTTTATGGTGGCTAATCGTGAATGAAGAGGAATGAGGATTTCTTCATTTTCATAGACAGATACTTGTGGGGTGAAGTTACTTAATTATTCTTATATCATTTTCTGAGTTGCAGGAATCGATTGAGTATGTAAAAACATAAAACTATTTGAGAGTGTCAAATTACATTTTGTATGCCACATAGTTTATCTTATAACAGACTTCCAAAGTAATATCTTCCAGCAATAATAGCTTTTTCGTTTTAAGGAGAAAAAAAAAGATTCGAGTGAAAATGAACTCCTACTTTGTCCATCTTTACATTTTTAAGATAAAATGCATTGACCTGGATTGATTGATTGATTGTTTGGAATTAAGCATAGAGCTACACAATGGGCTTTATGTGGGGGGGGGGCACTCGTTGACCTAGAAGAACGAATTGAAGGTAGCAGAGAATAATGTTTTGGAAATGTAATGATGGACAGTATGTGCATTCATTAAATAGTAGACACAAACGATCAGACAAAAATTAGAAAACAGAATTAGAATTGTGACTTCTCATAAGAACTGTTTTTTAGTAATTCTATTTTCGACTTTTTTTTTCAAAGTTCAAGCAGTAAACATTTACAAGTAACTTTTATATCGTGAAACTAACTGGTCGTAAAGTTGAACTGTTCCTTCAAGATAGTCTAAACCCCGTTTTGGGGTTTATAGACACAGAACAACACAGGTAAGATAGAACACTTGAAACATATCTACACACTATTTCGTAACCAATCCAAGTGACTTTTTATGTTTACACAAGTAAGTTAGTGGGTTTTTGTTGTTGTTTTTTATCTTCGCATTCATTCATTTATTATTTTATTACTTCAACACGAGGACACACGCACCGTAACTTGTGTAAAAATCAATATACAATTCATGCACGAGCTTCAGAAGAAAAAAAAATTGCCCGAAAAAAAAAGAAGCCGTTTGCTCTAACTACCAATAAATGGCATTACTTATTACATATCACCCTTTACCTGTATTACATATCGAAAACGATTCATGCTTCACAAAAAACATTACTTTACCGACGTTTCAGCTTACGCCTTCTTCTGAGTGAAAAGTTTTACAGCAAAACAACCCAGGTAAAGGGCAGCCAACTATTTGGTAGTTTGAATGATATGTAATACAGGTAAAGGGTAGCCAACTATTTGGTAGTTTGAAGAATATGTAACACAGGTAAAGGGTAGCCAACTATTTGGTAGTTTGAAGAATATGTAACACAGGTAAAGGGTAGCCGACTATTTGGTAGTTTGAAGGATATGTAATACAGGTAAAGGGTAGCCAACTATTTGGTAGTTTGAAGGATATGTAATACAGGTAAAGGGCAGCCAACTATTTGGTAGTTTGAAGGATATGTAATAGTAAAGGGCAGCCAACTATTTGGTAGTTTGAAGGATATGTAATACAGGTAAAGGGTAGCCAACTATTTGGTAGTTTGAAGGATGACATCGGATTTTATTCACGGAATGAAAATTAATTTATTAATTAATCTTCAAACTAACTCCAATGCAAGATTTTATGCTTTCCGTCGTGATTGTGAATTTGTTTTTCTCTATTATGGAAGATTGCATCTGTTTAAAATATCTTTACAAGAATAGAAAACCAGATGACACGATTTTAACACAGAACCCAGTATACATTGTGGGTATAAAACATACAAGACAACGTATACGTGTAATATGTCGGTATTACTATCATCATGATAAGACAAGGAAAGACAGAACTGGGTTTTATTAAAAATAAGTAAAGTTATTAAATGTGACTAAACGACGTGAATATAAAGAAACTATTTTTAAAATCTTACCTGATAAATTATCGACTCATTTTATCAATGGCACTTTTTAAGTGCTTTAAAACCAGACTTAATCAATTATTGATTCTTTATGAATGACAATTTTTTAAAAGTATTTTACAGCTAGAATTGTTCAATTATCGATTTTTTCATGAATGACAATTTTTTAAAAGTATTTTACAACTAGAATTGGTCAATTATCATATGATTCATATGATTGATTTTTTTATGAATGACAATTTTTAAGAGTATTTTACAACTAGAATTGGTCAATTATCGATTTTTTTATGAATGACAATTTTTAAAAGTATTTTACAACTAGAATTGGTCAATTATCGATTTTTTATGAATGAAAATTTTTTAAAAGTATTTTACAACTAGAATTGGTCAATTATCGTTGTAAATGAATGACAATTTTTAAGAGTATTTTCCAACTAGAATTCTTC